CCAAGAGGGAGGATGAGGAGGTTGCAAGGTCGCACAAGGGGTAGGAGGTGTGCGGGGGGGGGGGGGGGGTAATTTGCCAAATACCCCAATAAGTTGAGATATATGTCAACATGTCGCTGAATGGGGTCCAACCGATGTCCGGGGTGTTTCGCAAAACGTTTTTGTCATCATCCTTCGGAGTCCACTTGCAGCGGTAAAAACTGTTTCATTGTTGGGTTGGCTCATCTCAAGTGACCTTCATCGGCTGCAATAGAGGTAAAGCTGCTTTGAGTTTGGATTTGCTCATCTGGGTGGAACAAGGGCTGTTGTGGTGAAACTCAGACACTGAACGTCGAGGAGAAGTGGTTAATGGAAGGCCCAAAATTCGGCGAATTTTGGCGAATTTTTCACCGAAACAGTCGAAACTGCCATATTTCCCTGAATTTTCATTTTTTTCTTGGTTTTTCTTTTTGCCTGTTATATATGTGCTTTAGGGTATATCTGTATTCAGTTTCGCCGTATTTGGAGCAGTAACAAAAAACTTACCAAAAACACCAGACTCAAAAAAAGCTTTGGCGAACTCCGAAAGCTACTCCGAAAAGGGTTTAATAGTACTCTTGATTTTGATATTTTCGTTTTTTTTTTGCCTGATTGGTTTTTTGATGTTCTATTATGACCCTGCATAGTTTGTTCGCATAAGTTTCGACAACATTGCTTGTAGCAACGCGGCGAAAAACCCCAAATTTTTTGCCTTCCATTAACCACTAGTGCGTACATTGTATTCAGGGGAAGAAGGTACTGCTACTGTACTGATCTCCAGTGCTTCTCAGCCTGCTCTCCACCAGCCTGGCGTTGAAGGCACCAAGCTATGGAATGAAGATGAGTCGTCCTACGTCCAAAATCGCCGCTACAGACTGCCACTCTTGCCAGTCCTCCCTTCTCCATTACCACTAACACGCTACTGCCAATGCACTAATCTCCAGCAGCCCGATGCAGAATAAGTAACCTAAACTCCTGCCCTCAGGCCAACTCATGGGCCCAGCTATTAACCGCCGAGCTGCTACCTACTCTACCAGGTAGCGGTCCTGGGTCGTCAGATCTAAACCTCATCCGACGATGGCCCAGGAAAGTCGCCAGTCCTAGCCCCGAGGCCCAGGCCCAAAAATGTACCGCCTCGGTCCCAATCTGACGTCCAGACTACCCTGCTGCATCAGCACGTACGTCTAGGCCTGCCTAGAACGGACGAGGAGTGGACCAGACACTAGAGGATAACAAAAGGATCCCAGTCCTAACACTGACAAAGTCTCTCAAGGCCTCAACAAGATGTGATGTTTATTGTCCTTCGGGACATCCGTTAAACCGCCAGTACACGGCCCCAGCCTTGCAGAAAGTTTTTGTCGCCACAGGCAAAACTCGCCGGGGCCGCGCGGCGTGGGGCATCGTTGAAAAAAAAATTGGCGGCCTCCGAAGTGATCCGGGTTTTGTGCTGACACCTGCGGGCCGATGTGTGGTGTACTGGTGTTTTAAACTGCCAGTACACAGCCCCGGCCTTGCAGAATTTTCTTTTGTCCCCACCGCACTGTAGCACCAGTACTTTCCAGGCCCGCGCGCCATTGAGTAAAGTTGATCAATGACAGGCGTCGCATTTCGGGCCTCTGAAAATCAAGGTGTCCGGCCCGCGTCCCAGGTGGCTGTGTACTGGTGGTTTAAAATTGGGACGATGCCGAGAAGATTAGCATGGCCCCTGCGCAAGGATGACACACATTGGGGAAAAAAAAAAAAAAAAGATGTGATGTCTATTGTACCTCAATTGGATGGATTTCTGGTGGAAAAGGAACGAGACTGATGCTCCCCAGAATAGACCAAGGAGCCGGGACCATATGCTCCCATTTATTTATTTCTTACACCACTAGTACCTTTTTCGGTTCGAAAAATAGCCGGCCTCCGACCTTTCAGGAAGCTGAAACGAAACGACGGCCGCCGATGAGATTTATCAATGGCAGCCGTTGTCGGGCCCGGCCTCCGAATTCTTCGGGAGCTTCCGTTTTCCCTCATTTCTGAAGCGGCAAAGGTACTAGAAAACTACCTGTTAAACCCAGTAGCTACTGGCAAAATGTGCAGGCTTTGTGTTAGCCGGCCCCTAGTGGCTGCCCCAAACTTGCACCCTAAACCACTACCAGGGGTCCTCTGTACAGCCTTAGGATTACCGGTAGGTAGGTGGTGAAAGATGATGTGAGAGAAGCATACAGCTTGAGGGTGCTCCGGAGTAGAAAGACCAATGGCTACAGCCCCAACATTGTACCGGATTGATGTATCCAAGGGACGCTGGACCCGGTTTCCAGCAGGTGCCGCTCCCCACCAATAGACGGAGCAGCCGAACAAAAAAAAAAAAAGAAGAAGAAAGGGAGGAAATAAGAGAAAGAAAAAGAAAGAAAGAAAAAAAGTCCACATGGCTGAAAGCCTGTGCAAGGTACAAAATTACAAATATGACTGTTGCTGAAGTGATCATGAGTTCGAATCCTAACACAACCAGATGGGTGCAATATCCCCTTCAGAGGAAGAAAAAGGTTGAAACCCAATCCACAAAAAACAACAACAAAAGAAAAAGAACCCAATCCACACAGGGAGCAGCAACAGCAGCAGCAGCAGGTCGACGAGGAGGCGGAGGTGCAGACTTGTTATGTAACATTTAACAACCACAATCACAGGGAGCAGCAGCAGGAGGAGGAGGAGGAGGAGGAGGAGGAAGAGGACGAGAAGAGGTGGGCAAGGGTAACGTACAACAGGACAATAAGAAGAACAACAACATTAAGGATGGCAGTGACACCGACGATGATGAAAATGGCATCCGTTAAAGTTGGAACAATACAGAGAAGAAAGATAACCACAACAGTCCTTCGAGACATCCGTTAAAGTTGGAACAATACAGAGAAGATTAGCATGGCCCCTGCGCAATAATACACCAAAGACGACAACCATGACAAAAGCGATGATGGCAACAAAAATGCTACCATACGAAGGCGGCAATAGAAACATCAATGACAAGGGCAGCGACTACCGTCTTCCCCGAATAGAATACATGGCAATTAAAGCTGTATTTTGGGCAAATTTCAGTCCCGATACAGCGACAATGATCAGATGTTCTTTTTGCTTCATGACAGTACCACCACGAAAGTAACAACTACATGGTAACGACAATGATAATAAGAAGAAAAAGAGCAAAAAACACAAAGTAGCAAAGCCTAGCTCAGTTGGTACACCTACACTGGGAGAGGGGGGCTGAGCTCGCTGTCTTGTGCCTTGATAAGATTGCAGCGGGCACGTCTCTGAAGCATCTGCAGATGGAAGCTGGGATTAGATCTGTGCCTGCTGTCTGTGACCCAGCAGCTGGGCTACAGTGCATTTGCCTTCTAGGGTCAGGCAGCCCGTGGGGGAATGGCCCAATAAATTGTGCCCGTTCGGGGGCAGGCAGTCCTTGATGAGAACGAAAGGGCTGCTCACAGCACCTCAGGTGCACTTCGGGTGACGCCTGTGCGACTGGGTACTGTAAAGGTCTACCGGTGCGGGATGCTCTTATTAACTTATTAGCCATTAAACCCTGAGATGAGGTGGGATGCTGCGCTCTTGAGCTGAAATGCCAACTGCCCTACCTTGAATGTGTACAGCTTTGTTTTTGGAGAAAAAAATAAAATAAAACGAAATACAGACGTGAGTTCGAATCCAGTTGGAACTAGTTGAGTGAATTTCTGAATGACCTGTGCGAGGATCAGGGTCCTCGGTAGGCCTATGGGGCCCTGTCTGCAGCCTTACCCGCCCTAAGTGAAGGCGGGCCTGGCTTTTGCAAAAGGCCTTCGACTGTCAATTTCATATTTGGGGTTCAGGCAGTTGCGACGCGCCAGTTGGTTGAAAGAAACACAGGCCGAGCAACAAGGACATTTCCACGGCCTACCRGGCCTTTCCAAAGAATGCAGGCCCTGGCCTTGATTCGCAGCCTCATACAGAGACAGTTGGGCGCCCAACCGAACGAGGCCCAGCAGCCCAGTAGCTGCTGCATCCAGGCAGCCTCCTGGGGCCTTCCGGAAGCTTCTGGGCCCAGGCCAAGGCAGCCAGGCTGCGTGAGCAGCCCGACTCTTTTCACAAAGGAAAGAGCCCGGCCCTGGCTGCCTCATTCAGGCACTCGCATGCTGGGCGGCAGCGCTGCTGGAGCTTATGCTCGTAGGCTGCTGCTAGCGCTGAGAGGCGAGGTGCAGCACGTGCGGTCGTGCAGAGGAGGAGGGCGCTGCTGAGGGCAGCGCCATAGCCCAGCCACCATAGCTGGTGGGCTTGGACTACAGTGAAGCGCAGGGGTGGTCTTCGGGTGACAGAGAGGACTGGTGTGGGTGAAGTCAGGGGATAGGTGAAGGCTGATGATGATGATGATGATGATGATGATGATGATGATGATGTGAGGGCACGTACCTTGTATTGGTGATGGTCTGCATGGGCGGCATCTTCAAGTACTTCGGGCTGCCGCTGATGTCAACAGTTGCATTGTCTTTTTGTAGACTGTAGTAGCTGTGTAGGAGTAGGCTGGGCGCTGAGCGCCAAGTGTGAGTGTAAGGGAACTGGACTCTTTTGTTGAGAGGAGAGAGTGTGCTCTCCACGGACATTGGTTTTCAGTGATACGAAACTCCATTGGTGTATTATTGGTGCAATGCTACTATCTGGACACGGTGTGACTATTTGTCTTGCAATGTGATGGTGTGATCTGGGATTGTCATCTCGCTGTTGCTTATTTTCCTTGCAATTTGGTATCGGAGCTGGTTCATATTGCGCTTCATTGGTTCTTCGCAATAGCTATTGGTGCTTCGCATGAGGTGTGGGGCAGTGATACGGCATTGGCGTTGAACATTAGGCGGCCCAGGGTTGTGTGGGCACGCCGGGGAGCTATGTGGTGACATACGGGATGTATGCTGGATGATGAGAACTCGCTGATGTGACATATTAAGCTGAAGTAAACCGCATTCTGCTGTTGGTTGTGCCGAAGCAAAGACCGGTCATCGTAATTGCACATCAGGTTACCGGTGAGAAATCTGTGGTTGGGGGCAGCATTATAAGGTACGTTGCTCTCTTCCTTATCTACCCTCTTCATCTCTTCTTACCTTGAGGAATTGAGTTCTGTCTTGAGAGTCCTCTCGATGTGAGGTGTCGCGAGCGCTCAACCTTGAGGGTCGACATTCTTCCTGGGCAGCAAGCTGGTGGGAGACGGGCGAAGCCTCTGAAGGGCCCTGGACGAAGCACTCGGGTCACGGTCACCATGCCAACCCGCTGGGACTAGTACACGCATGCTTGGGCGCAAGTCCTTGGATCTGCTGCTTGCGCAAATAGGGGTCAACTCGGGCATGGCAGCCTCTATGAGACGCTCACCAGACCGTCTATAAACATTTCTGGTTGGGGACTCGGATTGAATCTGGCTGTGATCGTCGTCCTGACTGCGACGTTAAATAATTCCTGAAGAGATGGGGGCGCTCTTAATAATCCTCCTGATCAGCCAGATCAACCGGGTGTAAGGCTCGTCGGCGTACGAGGATAAATAAGAGTGCTGTGGCTGCCTTGCTCGACAATGACATGAGGCACAGGGGTGGGACCGGATTGCACACCTTTAGACACGCTGCTCAACCAGATGCTCAGGGACGTTGACACAAAGTGACTACTCAAGAAGGATACAGGGGGAGGGGGGATTCCGGTAACTGTTCACAGTGGCAATCAACAGACAATCTGCCATTCAGTGTACATCTCCGACAGGAGATGTTACTTTTATTTCGATTATCTAGTTGTGACAGACTTCGCTAACAACTGACAGACAGCTACAGATAGATTAGATCTTTGCTATAGTGCAATCTGTTCCAGGGTAATCCAAAAAATAGAATTAATATATCCTGTAGGACCTGACATTAGTTGCAACTACATCACCTAACTATTTCTGTTCCAGCCGACCGTAAGTAGTTGTGTATCATATGCGGATGTGTGTCAAGCTAAGGTAGGATTCAGTGTGGATTCTAGTTTAGATCACACACACTGTAGCTCATGAGTGATGGAAGCACAAGTGAGGAGGAGTTACTAGTGGACGACCGTAGGACTACTCGCGGGACTGCCCGCAGTCGACCCTTGACATTCTTGGAGATAGGTCCAGGAGACGAGAGAAGATTGAGGAGAGAGGCTAGAGAGAGGGCAGCAGCAAGGAGAGTGAGGGCAGCTGAGGACAGTGCTAGGGCTAGAGTTTCAGCTAGTATCAGTGCAGCCATGGCTACCTCATCTATGACGCAACCCTCTACACAGCCCACTTCTTCAGGAGTCGGTCAGAGTGGTTCTCAGGTTCCCATTAGTCAGATTGGTCATGTGCGAGTCAGCCAGTCTCCACTCACGCCAGAGGACTTAGAAATCCGGCAGGCAGAAGAACTTCAGGATGAGTTACAGCGGCAGATGGACGATGTGGTAGAGAGGAGAAGGAAAGCTTGCAAAGAAAGGCTAGACTAGAGAGTAGAGCTCAGGAGCTAGGCAGACTGGAAAGACTAGATGAGTCAACATTAGACCCTGCTGTCCGTGTGCTGCGAGGAGCCTTACTTTCAGTGGCGGAAGCGCAAAGGGTTCAGCAGGAATTGTTGGCTGATTTGGTAGCAGGCCAGAAACAAATTCTGGCTGAACTACGGGGCACTTGCCCAATAGTGAGGCCCCCACAGCTTGCTGTAGTTCCCCCTGCAGGTGCGGGTCCATCATCGATGCCGCAACGCACAAGGCAAACTTTCTCTCCCATGTTTGGCATGCCCTCCCCGGGTGGTTTAGTAGCAACTAGTGGTCCGGTTCATTCGGCTGGTTTCAGTGGCTATGCAGCCACTGCAGCAAGCACCTGGGCCCATGCAGCCTATGCAATGGATGCCCAAGATACCTCTAATGAGTCCCAAGCCTTTCTCTGGAGACAAGAAGAAGGAGGAAGACTTGGACACCTGGGTGAGGACTGTGCCTACTTATGTGAGGCACAAGCTCACAAGGCCAGAGCAGGAAGTTGTAGTGGCTGCCTCCTTTTTAGAGGGATCAGCAGCCCGCTGGTTGAATGGCTTAGTGCAGCAACAGGGCTACGGTCAGGATTTTGATGCCTGGGCTCAGGCTCAAACATTGGAACAGTTCGTTCGGGCAGTCTACAGCAGGTGGCATGACCCGCAAGGGGCTCAAAAGGCCACCGATGCTATCAACAACCTTTGTTCCCGCAGGTTCAAGGATGTTAGAGAGCTTACAGACACCATAGAACGTCTTCTCGTGGTACCTGGTGTGCGCTTTGACCAGCAGGTTCTCTTGACAGATTACCTAAGGTGCCTACCTACAGAGGTAAGGACCAAACTGGTTGATGAGGCCTGCGTCGATCAGCACACCTTCGCTTCTTTTAGTAAGAAAGCTCTGGACATAGAGGCGAAGTTGGGATCTGCGCACAAGGTACCCAACGATGGTAGGAAGAGACTGCCCCAAGATTGGAAGAAAAAGGGTCAGTTAATGTTCGTTGACCACGATGGTCAAAACGACGGAGATAGACGACTACTCAGATCTTCGGGAGTTCACAGAGCAGGATGGGGTTGGTGAGACTTCGGATGGTGGAGTCGTGGCACCCATCAAGGAAAAGGCTAGGGGGACCGGGAAGAAGAAGGTAGGACGGTCCACGGGTCAGGGCGACCAAGGAACACCCGCATGGGTGAAGATTGGTTTAGAGTATGAGATGTGGCGTGACCGCGTTGCTAGGGGTACATGCATGAACTGTGGCCATTATGGTCACACGTCCAGGACTTGCCGCGGCAAGAAGGTAACCACGAAGGTAGCCTCACCAACGGTGGTGGGTCTATCTTCAAACCCTGGGAGTGTTTCTGCGAGCAGCTCACAAGGAAACACCTCGGGCTAGTAGGAGTGTTAACCGCTCTTACTCGCGCTCAAGTGGTAACGTTGCCTTCCCCACTTCAGGCGTTGGCCAAGGCTAGTGACCCACGTATCGCCCCGCAAACACATTCAGACCCACCGACGCTCTGTTCGAGAGATGTGTCTGAGGCCCTAGAAGAGTTAGAGACTGAGTGGTCAGGGAAGGACACCAGGAACTCTTGGGCGATGATCAGTAGAGGTCCAAAGGGTGAGCATTTCGTGGTAGAAGTAGATGTAGGTGGCCGCAAAGTTGGCGCCTTCTACACGAAATTTCATCAGTTGTGCTTGTGTGGATAGACTGCGCTTAGGGGACCAAGTGCAGCGGCTTAGCAGAACTGTAGCTTCTACGCTAGCCAACAAGCACCAAATGGTAGTGAAAGACTATGTCAAGGACGTAGCATGTTCCTTCTCCTATGGAAGAGGGGAAGTGATCGACAAGATCTCCTTCCTGGTTAGCGACGAACTGCCATTCGACATGCTACTGGGCATGTACTACCTCAAAGACTCACAACCACAGTTTGATTGGGATAGAAAGGTGTTGATACACAAGTTGCCGAATGGTAGGACCGTTGGGCTGCAGAAGTACAAAGCTAGCAGTCTAGTAGAGAACTACGGCTGCATGTGCGCTTCGTCTTTCTATTACTACAAGCAGAATCGCGAGGAGGGCATGTACCTAGTGTTTGTCTCTGAGAAAGGGGAGGTCGTTAAATCACCCCCGGAGATAGAACAAGTCGTCGCTCAATATTCATACCTTTTTTAGGAGCCCACAGGCGTGGTGGAAAGAGAGGTTGTCCATGCAATAGAGGTTGTCCCAGGTAGTAAGGTGCCTAGAGGACGAATCTATAGGATGTCTCCTGCGGAGTTAGATGAGCTTCGCCGCCAGCTCAAGGAGCTCACAGAGAAGGGATGGATACGGCCTAGTACCTCCCCTTACGTTGCGCCAGTCTTATTTGTTCCTAAGAAGGGAGGTCCATTAAGGATGCGCATTGACTATAGGGGCCTCAATGCCATCACCGTTAAGAACGTGGAGCCCCTACCCCGCATTGACGACCTCTTGGATAGAGTGCAGGGATGTCAATACTTCACAAAGATAGATCTGAAGTCCGGTTACCATCAAATTGTCGTTAGGCCTGAGGACCAACACAAAACCGCATTTCAGACCAGGTACAGTCTGTACGAGTTTGTGGTGATGCCTTTTGGCCTATGCAATGCGCCTGGTACGTTCCAGCACGCGATGAATAGGATCTTTCATGACAACTTGGACAGGTTTATCATCGTGTACCTCGACGATATTCTCATCTTTAGTAGGACTGTAGAGGAGCACGCTGAGCACTTTAAAATAGTGCTAGGCCTCCTAAGACAGCACCAGTACAAGGTAAACTTGGATAAATGCGAGTTTGGTCGCACCAGATCTTGTACTTGGGTCATGAAATTTCAGCAGATGGATTGAGGCCGGAAGATGCGAAAGTGGCCAGCATACGTGACTGGCCCAGACCTCAAACTGTTACTGAGGTCGAATCGTTTTTGGGGATGACGGGCTATTATCGTCCGTTTGTGAAGAACCATAGTACTATAGCTTCCCCATTAACAGATCTAACTCGACTTGACACCCCTTGCGAGTGGACTGAAGTGTGTGAGGCAAGCTTCAAGAAATTGAAGTATGATTAGACGCACTATGAAGTTCTCAAACTTCCTGATCCTGACCAGCCATTTGTTGTGACCACAGACGCTAGCCAATATGGCATAGGCGCGGTCCTTGCGCAACAGGAAGGGCCCAAGTTGAGGCCGATTGAGTACATGAGCAAGAAGATGCCATCTCAGAAGTTGGCCAAGTCCACTTATGAGAGAGAGCTCTACACCCTGTACAGAGCGCTAGTTCATTGGAGACACTACCTCCTATGAAGATTCTTCTATGTGAGGTCGGACCATGAAACTTTGTGCAGGATTAAGACACAGCCAGTCTTGTCGGACGCACTCAAGAGATGGATTCAAGTGATAGACATGTATGACTATCAACTTGATCCTATTAAAGGTACGTACAACAAAGTGGCTGATGCGCTATCAAGAAGGGCAGATTATCTGGGCGCGCTAGTACCTGAGTTTGGCATATGTAATGACCTCACTCGATCGTTGGTGGAAGCCTATCAGGGAGACCCAGTCATGCCCGAGATCATTCGTAGATTCAAGGCAAAGGATAAAAAGACTTTGGATGAATTTACGATGGTAGACGACTTGTTGTTTCTCGATAAGGCAGGGAATAAAAGACTGTGTGTTGCTAATAGTGACTCTTTGCGTAGTTTATTTTTAGGAGAGTGTCACGATGCAACGGGTCATTTTGGCTATGAGAAGACAGCAGCAAACTTAGTTCAGAGATTCTGGTGGCCCTCTATGATGGAAGATGCAAAACAATATGTTGAAACCTGCCAGGTTTGCCAAAGGGACAAACCGAGGACTCAGGCTCCGCTTGGGCTCATCAAGCCCTCGCCGATTCCTGAAGGTCCTGGTCAAAGTGTGTCCATGGACTTCATGGATACCCTTGTGACCAGTAAGTCTGGAAAGAGACACATCTTCGTCATAGTGGACCGTTTCACTAAGTATGCAAGACTAATTGCTATGCCAGAAACAGCAAAAACTGACCACGTCATCAAACTATTTATGGACAATTGGGTTCGTGATTTCGGTTTGCCTACGTCTATCGTTAGTGATAGGGATGTCAGGTTCACAAGTGAACTGTGGCAGTCAAC